GGAAGGGTATACTGATATACAATCTACTAGGCCAAACGCTTCAATAACACTTACACAAAGACGAAAGACTACCAAAGAGTCAGCTAGCGTTGTATTGTATTGTGTTTTTATGGAAGTAAATGTATGGTGTTTAAAAACCTCGCGATTGCTGAACAAGAAAACGACACATTCATAAGACTTATGTTTAATCTAGGCTACTAAAGCTAACCTTATGCTTAATCTTATGCTGAACCATGACTATCTTATGAATAAGGTGTAGACAGCAGCTAAGAAACAGGCAGTAGATACAAACGAATGTAGTCGTATGCCGATGACAGATGCCTAGAAAAGAATGCATTGACGAAGCACAAAGGCCAAAATCGCAAAGTTGAATTTGTTCCATGTCACTCTACTTTGTAAAACACTCCCAGGAATCCTTTCTTCTCAGATAACAACCAAGTACTTATTCGAGGCACACGTTTCAGATAGGCGCACGAGCAGATCACTAAGAGAATGACAACAACGATACCATCCAACGAATAAGCTGAAGAAGACAAGCACTGTCAATAACTCGCACCAGCATCCCTCAGTCTACTCAACAGTCTCGGAAATACTTACCGTTCATAAAAACCACAGTATCTGAGACAAAGCTGAAAATATAGTTTAAACAATAACCACGTTATGCTCTAATATTAAAGCTTCCAAAAGATGTAAACAAATATTTAAAAAATTCAGTAACTTAAACTAATGGAAAGCAAATGCACTAGGAATGAGATAGGACGGACAAGACCATGCCAATCATGGGACAGTGGTACACAATGAGATCAAATTTTATTCATCACCGGGTAATAAGAAAGAGTAAATGAATGGTACTTAACTGAAACAAATAATAAATGCCGAGATATAGGAGGTGAAAGTGAATATATATGCATATATAAGGTATAAATTCATATATGTATGTATATACACACATATAAACACATATATATACATATATATATATATATATGTATACATATGCATACATATAATTCAAATAGCTTTTTTCTCACTAGGTAGTCTATCCTAACAGTCAGTGTAAAGATCGACAGCATTCCTCTGCCTTCGAATACAATGGTCAAAACTTCACAACTCATAGTTCCGAAACTTTCTCACAACATCTGATTGATATCTCTCTTCCCATAACGACGATGAATTGTGCTCCTTCCTCCTGACTCCTCGTTCTTCAACATTGGACATGGATATCATTGGCGTTTGCTTTTTTGCGGCCCAGTGCATAGACTGAAAATTCTGATTCTGATATAGGGGCAACAAATTGAGGGATATAACTAACAGAAAAGACGACGTGCCACGACTATTTGGGAAACTGAATGGAACGTTCACAAAAGCTAGTAAAAAGAAGGGATGCGGATTACAAATAATCCTGTGCTTCTCCTAACACATATGGCCTCATTGCATATAGCCTATATCCCAGCTGCATCTGATACAGTTGCACTTTTCATATACAAATAATCACGCTTGTAAATACAAGCGAGGACATGTTTGCGAAAACTTGCACTGTAAGCTGAATGTCGATCAAAAATACGAAATCAAGTGACTGGGAATTACACGAAGGGAATTTACAACAAGTAGCATTCCACATACTTAGTAAGTTATTTCGTTGAATATGAAAGGAAGGACACAAGAGACTTTACTCTCGCTAGAATTATAATTCGAGAGTGTGGTTTACCCTCTGGACCTACCCTAAATAGCTAGTTTCTTAGTTAATGGAAATCGCTATTTGCCCCCAGCCTTTATTTCATTCTTTTATTTCAGAGATTCCTCTTTGTGCTCTCTTCTTGTGCAAATAAAGGTGGGTGTTCGAAAGATGTTTCTCACAAGTTCCCTTGTCGCACGAGAAGAGTAGGTAATGAACCAGAGTGATGTCGTTACTTGCTTTTCGGCACCATTTTGTGATGTAAACGTTTTCGGACGGGCTAATTTGGTCGTTCAGAAAGTGAAGCCAGTTTTCCTTTTGTATCTCTCCAATGAATTTTATGTCCTCTGGCTATTCGTATAACAACTCTTGTCCATTCCTCTTGTGTGGAACAGATGATAAAGTAACCGTCTATGTATCTACAACACGGTGATGGTCAAAGATCAATTACTAGGGTTTTCATCTTAGACATAAAGTCAATGGAAAGGCTTTTGTGCTAACCGCTTTCCCATTGCCAATCCTCTCATATGTGCGAAATACTCCCCGGAATATCTAAAGGGCAGTTTAGGTACTTTTTAAAAGAGCCATAGGCTACTGAATCATCAGCGCCACACATGTTTATTGCTTCTTCATGTTGTATGAGGAATTATAACGTGGCTCGCTTTGCGAAGTCATTCGATACTTTTGTGCAAAAGGCGTTCACATCGAAGGACTCCATCAGCCATGCGCTATTCCGGTGCCCACTATGGAAAGTTGGCTAATTAGACAATGTAAAACGAGTAGAATGGAGATGTAGTATAAGAACGAAGACCAGCATGACATCAGCAATTGTTGTATAGTCTTTCTCTTGTTTGTCAACGAGCTTTTCACTGGGAACAAAGTTCAATCCGATAAATAATATCCACCCAACAAGAAAGTTTGCTGAAAAATCACGAAAGTACATGACGCCGACACGCATTACCGTCTTTAAAAAATCTTTAGATCCTTTTAAGATAGAAGAGGCTATGCGCCATATGGACGAAGAAGGCGATCTTCGTCAGCAACCCGGTTTTCATGAGCTATACACCTACTCAACACTTAAATACGGCATTTCACAATGACGTCAACATTTCCCCAGAAAGACATAACACAAGCTGACAGAAATAGAGCAGCGCCACTTTCCAGAATCTCACGTGAGAACTGAAAAAGAAGGGGATTTAATGTAAGGCGTTGCGACCACTAGAGCTACGCCAGAATCACTTTTTTAACGACACCTTATAAAAACCACATCGGAAATGCTAGCAAATGAATGAAACAGAAAGATTTCTCTATAATAACACGTTATTCAAAACTTGAAGCACGTACCACTCTGACTGCATCTTGGTTTCTTTTGAAATCTCCATAACTTAAAGGAAGGATGCAGTCAAGCCAGGCATCATAACATTGTCTCTCTTGGGTGTCAGAAAGCGTACTGTAGGCGGACTACAAAACATTTTACAACTACATAAAACTACAGAAACTTCGTAAAAAAACCGAAAACCAGCCCACAGAGAAAGCTGAAAAGTTCAGCAACATGGATATTTACCTGCATTAGAAAAAGATTTCATCGGTTTTTTAAACCGTTATATTGTGAAGGAGCTCTAAGTTTATGTGTACATATATATTCTATATATAATATATATACATATATTTACGCATGTATAAGTGTGTACATATATACGTACATGCGTATGCATACATTATTTATTATTTTTTTTTATATAACCTGTCTTTACGTCTACTATGTGGATCTTAGCACTTCTCAAACTCCATATATATACGTATGTACACATATATACCTGTAATTGAAGATACTCCTCCTTTTTCTGGTCATCTTCCACGAGTAGTTTATCAGGATGCAGAAGCCTCACCCGTGCTCGATACTCCGCCGCTATCTGATCAACCTAAAATCTGTCCGCTCTTAGAAGTTGGAAGAAAATCAAAGAGAATGTAGAAATACATACGCTACTTGTCCTATCACAACCCAGTATCCGATAAAAATTCGGCTCCTTTTCTGATTTATCGCTCAAACTTTCATCTACGAAATTCATCTGTAAATGCATTAAATCCTCATGAAATCCCAATCAGTAGCAAAAGAACTAAGGAATAATTTAGTGGTTCTTAGCCTCAACAATTCCTTCACAAAACAAAACTAAAACAATATTCATTCATAAGCATGTCGAACAGGCAGAACAGACAACAATAAGAACCAACAAGTCCAATAACAATAAATGTTTGCAAAAACAAAATTACGCTCCCACAAATCTCTCCTGCTCTCTTTTATTGGAAAATTTGTTCCTACGTCCTGAATTATCCGGTGTTTCCTGGTTAGTACGCAACAGACTCCGTCTTCCTTCTTTTAATGCTACCTTCCGGAGGTGTTTGTAATTCTAAAATATTGGATCTTGTCCCAACAGATTTAGTCCAAAGAAAATGCGTCGTCTCTCAGAATTTCCACTAAAATTTCAGTACACAGATTACTCGAACGCGAAACATTCACACCGTAACCTTAGTTGTAACTGCAACTACTGTAATAAAGTCTCCAAGCAGAAGGAGATTTCTGAAAATAAGGCTAAAAGATATAAGCTGGTTTAAAAAACAAGATATCACCATTCATTCTCCTTAGTGGGTCAAATTATGTCGCCGTCCGATTAAACTCTACTTCATCTTTAGTTTTTCGGCATATCGCAGTTAGCATTCATCTGGCAGAATAAACCACCTTGTGTTTGTTTTTCCCCCACATTATTAAATTAGTTTAGACGTACTGTGGTGAAGACACAATCAGTTATGTTGAATGCTATTAGTACGATTCATTGCGCCTTCTAACAAATAACTCCGTCTATTTTCTTGAATTTTTCCACCCATAATTTTTTCATACACGCTTCGTTGGCAATCTCCCTGTTTCTTGTTCGTTGAGTATCTGCTTCTTTCATGTTTGAACTTTAATAATTAGGAGCTGAAAGTTTATAGATTTGGATTATGTCAGAGGATGACAAACTGAGATTCGTTTACAAGACGATTTTTCCATAGAGAGTAAAAAGAACGTAAAGACGGTAGAGAGGAAGAGGGGAGCAGAGCAGCAGCAGGTTTCTGGCGCAATCATCTTTCATTTTTCAGAGGCTCCTTGGCCTGGTTGGAAAGCGTTACAGCTTATCTCTAGACTAAAAAAAAGCTTGGCATAGGTTCGGAAATATATCAGCAGCATCTCGTAGTCCTTTGCCAGATCCTCGTTTCTGCGTCAGTTACAATTTGAAATGATATCACTGAAGACGGATTCGTTGTACACAGCCTGCCTTCTTTTGCCCCATAACAGCACTTAACTTTCATTTTGCGACGGAAATTTCCCACAAAAGGGGTGAACGAATTCAGTGTAAATGGATGGAATGACAGTAAGATCGAACAAATTCCATTTTCTATTTACAAGAATGGCATAATCCGCACCGTTTGTGGATTCCCACATCCAACGTTGATGGTCCTTCATGAAACAATTAGCATGGAAGGTGAGATTCGCAAAGAGTAGTGTCCCAAGACGATCTTTGCTTTTATTTTCACTGCAATGTATTGATCAAAACTTCCAATTCTACACACATGTCCCTGCACCGTTCCAATCCTTGTATTGGAGTTGGAGTTTGTCCGCGTAGCAAATTTGTAGGATTTCTCGTTACGGACGATTCCAATTTCTCTCTAATTTAATGAAACATATAAACTTCTGCATCATCAGCTATCGATTTTGGTAAGTAGCAGATAATGAAACTTATTTTCTCCTGATAAAAAAATGCAAGGCGTAGAATGGTAAAACGAGGAAACAGAACTTCACATGCATGAACAAATTTGGAAATGGATGGGTTTACAATAAAGATAACGCCGCCAATTTTAACGAATGGAATCTTCCAATCTATGGCGAGGTTTATGTCGTTCATTCGAAAGCATGAAGTGCCGTGTTTGTGCGTCCGTGCTTTTTAGATCTAATACCGTTCCTTCTCTTTTGGCACGTTGAATGATGGGCTAGCACGGTTTTTCTAGAATTACAAGATAGCAGTATTAGGAGGTTCTCAAGCCTTCAACAGCAACCGCTGTCTTTGTGGATCAAAGTAAAGCTTTCTGCTTGCGACTAATTTCCTCCAAACCAACAACGAACCTTGGGATTAGTTCACCGACAGCTCGAGGATGGTGACAAGCGAAATCGATGCGACGATTGTGATTGATATGCTGAGCGAAGAGTGCATAATGATATATTGTTTCACGAACTCTGGCTATTAGATAACGGCTAATCCGGGAAGGTTCATCTGTCCAGCTTGAACGCATATAAATTATACATTTTTATGAGTTGAGCAGCGATTTGGGGTCTGTTTGTAAACGAGATGGAGTGATTTGAACAACGGGACTAGTTCTGGGAACGAAAAACTGTATGTAAACGCACAGATTTGGTAATCTTTTGACCAACCTCTATTTCGCCGACAACGCAATTCATGGTGGAGAAAACACAGGTAAAAAGGACAAAGATCTCGGAGTTCATCTATCCCTGGGGAATGCCCCATGCATTCGACTTCATTGAGCATCGTTGGAGGTGATTGAATGCTTAATGACTTTTACAATGACTCGCGGTGGCCTACTGATGTATCGAGCCGGTACTGCTCCTCCCAAACAAGTCTGGCACCAATTTGCCGATCCCAGAGGGATGAAAGGCTTGGCGAGCCTAGAGCGCAGGGATCGACCCTATGTGTATTGCCGAACCCCTCAGATCACTGCACGCGCCCTTACAGATATAAATATGGGACAAGATTATTGGAATTGTGCACAAGAAAAAGGAACACATAAAGATTTCTCCATAAAAGGCAACGTAGTAAAACCAATGGTTACGAACCTCAAAAACGGCTTAGTGGATAAAAAAAGGGATGTGTATAGCGATAAGTGATAAACAATCGTCTCATTGCCTAAGAGACTGCTCCATACGGAGAGAATTTGGTTGTCAAAAGCAGTAGCGATAGAGAAGAAAGTCCACAGCAGGTTAGATAGCAGAAGTTAAAGATAGGATTAGAGTGGCGCAACAAACTCGGAGTAGCGTTATGATGTTCAGGTTAAAGCAAAAAATGCCGAATTGTGATGTATACGGGTATAGCACGACCCCTTGCGCAAACTGGCCAGGATCGCTTGTTGCTAAAATGCTATAACCAAGCAAAAAGGAGAAAAAAACCGAATAAACGACTTCAAAATAAAAATGCGCATAAGTTCTCCTCAAACCATTGGTGTTTTTACGCCCTCAGATAACTATGTTCATGGAAATAATGATGGTGTTGGGGAACAGCAATGGAAAGATCACTATTATAAGAAAATAGAAAGAAACCACAAATCTAGATCTGCACTAATGCGTGCTAAACAGGTGAACACTAGATACATCTGATATAGACAACACTTCTTGCTTGAGTCTTTCAGCGAGTGCCGTCGAAAATGTGAACACTAGAGATTGCAAAACGCAATGGTTAGAGCAAATCAAAAACAACTTTCACTTAACCTCGGCATTGAACAAGAATTCACTGTTATCCTTGATGAATAAAAACGAGGTTGTTATTACAGCATTTATTCATTCACATTAGCTTACATAATAACACAATAGGTGACGTTTCAGCGGTTTTGCCTTGTTCATAGCATTGTAGAGTGAAAGTAACAAGCAATCTGCTTAGAGAAATCCTGTCATAACTTCAGGAGACAAAACGATACATAAATGACTATTCGCATAATGAACAGCTTCTTTTGAACAACCACCTTTTGGCTCTTTTTACGTGTTCCAGTGATCTGATGGAGACCAGCAGCACGGAATTTTACACGGGTGTTTTAGATTGTAAAACCTTACCGTGCACAAGGCTTGAACCGTCTTGGATAAACTCCAAAAACCCAGAAATGAACCGCTAGAAGGATTGCCTTGTGACAACGTGTGATCTCGTACCGAATCTCATACTGACTTTTTGACCTGAGCCACGCACGTTTCTCGCCCATGTAAGGCTCTGTGTGGCCGGTATGCATCAAATGACTGGAACACTTAAAAAGAACAAAACGAAGAGTGGAAAACTGGGTGATAGAAAGGTAAAATAAGGGCAAAAGGCCTCAGCAGTACACGTGAGTCCCCGAAAAGGGTAATCGTGGGTTCGAATCTAACGTGGGAGCGAAGTTATGTAAGTATCTCAGAATCATAGTGGTTGTATCTCATAACAGACTTTTCCGTGACAAGTTACTGAAGGCAAAAAAATAGAAAGCTAAAAAAAACGGAGAGTGTGTCAGAAGAGTTGGTCAGTATGCGAATAATCATTTATGTATTGTTTTGTCTGTTAAGGTTATGATAGTGTTTCGCTGGGTGGATTGCGTATTAATTTGGCACATTCAGGGTGCCGATGGGGAAACTTCCGAAATGTCAACTATTGTGTATTGATTAGAGCTGTAACAACAACCTCGTGTTTTCTCAACAAAGAAAACGACGAATTATTGAGCAATGGTTATAATTACATATAAGTGTGCACTACAGAGGTTATGGGTATGCAGAGACTGTAAATCGTATGTAGATAGCCGAAGTTGTATGGATTGCACGTTGTAAAATAAATTCTAGGTATACTGCTGTATACTTACAGCATTACCTCTTTTACCGAGAGCAGTGTTGATGATGTCAAGTATACAACAATGCTATAGTTACACCTACAGAAACCTTTTCTATGAATGCTTAGACAACTCTTCGCTGTAGAAGGATATCCCTAAACGTGGAAATTTAGCATTCGGAAACTACCGGAATATCTTGTTCCATTTTAAGCAGCTAAAATCCGTGGCGGGTACTCTATTGACCAGCAATGATATTTCAGGAATTAAACTCAGCCGAAAAACGTTTGTTGATAAATATTAACTATAGACTATAGTTCTCGAACGTAGCGAGGCACCAATATCTCAGTTTGGTGGGCTCGAGAACAAATTGTTGTGGCAGAACAACTATGTGTGGTAAAATAAACAGACGGAAAGAGAGCGAACCATATATGGTGCATAAGATAGCGAATGAGGTTTACAGAAACAATTTTTAAACTAAACTGAAACTAACAACGACTGTTTCAAACATAAGTAACCGAATTTTCCTCTCACTACAGCAAAACAAACTCACCTTTGAAAATATGTCACGATGATTTGCCCACCGCGAAACAATCTTCTCAAGGGATTGTGTTCGCTTGAAATTATTAATCAAGCTTTGTAGATGGGGCTCATCTCCACTCACAAAGAACTTGGCTCTTATGCTAACCTAGAATGAAATCATCTGCATGTAAATACAAAATTATTCAAAAAGAATATACTGTGAAAAAATTCCAGACCACTCGCTCGACAGATTGACCAGATTTTCCTAGTGTAGTGCCGCTACAGCCGTCTTCATCATCAGTTCCCTTTATCCTATCCAGCTTCTGCAAACGAAAAGCAGTAGATAACAATTACACATAAACTGCAGTTACATACCTTAACCGGAAACATACTGGCATTGTGATTAATGGTGTCGTGCCTTTCCTCAACTGTGGGTCTTCGGCCAATCATTTCAAGAAAAGAGAAGCCAGCACCACTGTCCACACCATTATCTTGCCCAGAAGACCGAGATTTCAACTTAAAACGGAACGTACCCTCTGGTAAAATGATGCTGAACGATCATCAGTGGAACAAACACATTCTCTACTGGTAAAAACAGTATGGCGAAAAACAAGCAATATTGAATTTTGGTAAAAAAAATCTAAGTACTCATATCTTAGTTCAAATCCTACAATAACAGTCTGTGTAGCACAAACGAATGCGTATAAGACTGACCTCTCGAATAAAGTCGGCTTGTATCTCAATATGAGTTTCACTCATCTTCTCGTTGCCCCTGTTATCATCTAGAGAACATCCATTAGTAACGTCATCTTTCTTTATTTCATTAGTGACCTGAATAACATCGCGTAAAACTGAATACAAAGTCCTTTACTATTAATAGCTTGGAAAAAATTTACCTGATTTTTCTTTAACCAAGAAATATGCTCCTCGTTGAAAGGATCAAATCTGACATCAAAGTTATTGTTTAGTAATAAACAAAACAACTCCGTGATTATACACAAAATAAAAGTAGACCAAAATTTGCACGACTACCTCGTGAATGGTCGGACAGCTGCAATCTCACCAGCCGCCTTATCCATGGATTTAATTGTTTTCTTCAGTGGTTCAACAGTACTGCCCAGAACCTTTGATAAAACCTCGAAATTTTTAGCTCGTTCCTGGTAAGCCTCCTAAAATGACGAAACACCGCTCATGAAACTAGAGCTACCCGAAATTCTCTTTCGATAAAGTTTAGGATAAGGTGAAACACTACTTACGTTCGCGTTATCGTCATCACTTCCACTAGAGGCAAATTTTTCGTCGAGTTTGAACCGTGGGTCAGAATTAAAACGTGCTTCCAACTTCATAAGTTTCTCACCTTAACACTATGGTTTAAATTAAGCAAATAAGTTCACAATAAAACATAAATGCTGCTAACTGGACATTTCAAGAGCTTAAAATATGTTCCACTTAGATCACATAATCGAAAAAAAATGAAATTCTTACACCTTTCTTCCCTTCATGGCGACAGGCAATGTTGAACGAACTCTCTACATTGCTGTCATCAGACGAGTCATCTTCAAAAAGTTTCACTTGTGCGGAGGGGAATGATGCTGTCTCTGTGTGTGACAAAGTGACGTTTTCCTATAATGTACTATGGTGAACGTAAGCCAGCAAGCCACGGATCTTTCTCATATGAGGAATCTCGAGCGGGTTAGTAGTGAGGCTACGTGGCGCGTCCCCGGGTGGCGGATAGGGGGTTAATCGCAGACCAAAAGCGACCTTTGCTTCAGTGGGACGCAGCTGGATCCAGGGCATGGACTCCCTAATTCTGCTGCGCTGATTTGGCACATACTTTCTCTATTTGCTAGGCATATTCATGCATATGTGTTGTGTGTATGTGTTGTGTTGTAAGTGTTGTGTGTGTATGTGTATGTGTATGTGTGAGTGTGTGTGTGTGTTTCTAGTTCATGCGGATTGTAGCCTATGAGTCCATTCAGCCAAAAACCGGCAATCAATCTAGGAAGTATACAGGAGGCCGTTAAGAGTTGCCTCCAACAAATAAGCTCCATATCCACTCTGGGAGAGCCTGGCAAGCTACGTGTGAGTATACCCAGCCCCCGCGTTTAGAGCCCAGCATGCTATAAATGGGTATCAAAAATTCTAAACACAGTAAGAAGAACGGACCTCATTCCCCTGACACCGAAAGAGCCCCCAATTTCGCAGCGTTGGCTAGGACGAGTTCGGAGAGGCTGCTAAAATCTTAGGGCCAATGGAAGTTGCCTGGATTTCGAAGAACTATGGTGACGATCTGTACCTACAATGCACGTACACTTGCATCCTAGTCCTCCATAGAAGACTTGTTCATACAAGCAAGAAGGATAAAGTACGAAGTCATCGGCCTGGGCGAGACCAGAAGACGCCAGCCTTTAAACGCCGTCTATAACATCGGAGAAGAACTGTACCTTGGAACATGCGACGGTGGAGTCGGCGTTCTTGTCAACAGGAGTTTGTCCGTGTCCGCTCTGTCTCACTTTCATCGATTTAAGGAAGGAGTTTGATTCAGATGAGATAGAAGCAGTTTTGGAAGCTCTTGATAGCCAAGGAGTCTCTACTCAGTACATAAAGATTCTTGGTGAGCTGTACAAAAATTCCAAAACCAAGATAACACCATTCTACAACGATATTGATATTGACGTCAAAAGGGGAGTTAGGGAAAGCGATACCATCTCGCTAAAATTATTTACCGCCACCCTCCAGAACGTTATGCGAACGTTGGAATGGGATAATATGGAAGTGAAAATCGATGATCGGCAGCTACACCATCTTCGCTTTGCTGATGACATCGTCTTTATAACACCAAACATTAGCCAAGTGGAACATATCCTTGACGACTTTGATAAAGCCTGTGGAAGGATTGGTCTTCGACTAAATCTCGCAAAAACGATGTTCATGAAGAACGGATTGGTTTCGCACGCCCCATTCACGCTCAACGGAACGGATATCTCCGAATGGCCCAGTTATATCTATCTAGGTCGGGAAATCAACATGTTGAACGACATAGCTTCAGAGTTGAGCAGAAGGAAACGAGAGGCTTAGGGAGCTTTCAAGAGCATCGCGGATGTAGTGAAGAGGACAAAGAACACCCGATTCCGTACGCACCTTTTCGACTCAACGGTACTTCCTGCCCTCACGTATGCACCAGAAACCTGGTCGCTGCGTAAACAGGATGAAAAATCACTCAGCGTTATCGAACAAGCAGTCGAAAGGACGATCCTAGGGGTACCCCGTTCCACACAAGTAAGGGATGGGATCCGAAGCTCCGATCTGCGTCAACGATCAAAAATCAGAGATGCCGTTCTGTACGCCAAACAGTCGAAGATAAGGTAGACCGGACACATAATGCGTATTAATCACAACCAATGAACAAAAGCCGTTAGTGACTGGATTCCTCGGGATGTCAAACGTACTGCAGGAAGACCACTGACCCGATGGTCAGAGTTCTTCACAAAGAGCCTTGAAGATAGATATGATGCTCGACGAGTCCCTAGAGCGAGCAGAACCCACTGGGCTACTCTTGCACGCGACAGGGAAAAATGGACGATATACTGGCGCCCGCTCGACTCACACGACTATCAGCGGGACTACAGGTGATACAAATGAAGCTAGCAAAAGGTTCTTGAAAAAATCATTGATAAGGCAAATCACTAAAGGTGTAAAGCGTTTCCCATTAAAATGAAAATAAACGAAAACATGAGCAACTAAACCTTAGAAAATGACTAACAAGACCGAAAGTATGTAACCGTTTGTTCTGAACAAACAGTGGTCAGCGAAACAGAAGTATATCACCATTCCTTTTTCCACTATGGACAAACACCTTAGAGAAGTCAACAATACGGCTGATAGAAAGGCGAAACGAAGGACCCGCATGGTGTGATGGTGAATTCGTTATGCCCCGGAACCTAAAAAAGTAATAGTGTGTTTTGCCACCATCGCACACACCAGCGGTCCGGAGTTTTTCAAATGACTCGGCATCACTATGGTTATATTTCACATAATACCCTGCCATTAAAAGAGTAGGCAGTAAATAAAAAGTGACGAAACAGCTTAGTACACCAAAAACGTCACTGGGTCATCTCATGGGAAAAAAAACAGAACAAGAGACAGGAGCATCTGATCAGTGGTATTCAAGACCACCAGCAGAAAATGTTTCACCAAAACTAACACTGCAGAATAATTTGAAAGAAAAACGGTACTACAACTAATGCAACTAATTACCTCGTCATCGTCGCTGTCAGTGAAAACAATACGTTTGGCCCTGTTGTCGACGTCTCTAAGTGCTTGAGACAAAATAGCCTGACGCTGCCGCTCGAGTAGCTTCTTCGCCCGTATACTTTCTACTCGCTGTGCTTCCGATTTTGCTCTTTTTTCCAATTTTTCCTCATCTTCGCATAACCACATCCTTGAATGAATAAAGAACTCTACACATAAGAAAGCCTACAGCAATAAAAACAGCTGATGAAACATGAAGAACAGAAATACAGTGCATTCACTACGACCTTTATCAAGAGCAAAACCATCTGAACAACCATATCGAACAGCACAACTCTCATGAGAATTTAAGTAAAGATGGGTACCTTAGTTCTAAATGGATAGCAGAATGAAAAAGACCGATAATTGCTGCATAATTTGGACAGGCTTAGCTAGAGCCAATAGGTGACCAAAAACATTTTCTAAAAAGATCATTCTCAAGCTGGATGAAAATAACAATACAAAGGACTTCAGAAGAGAAATAAAAAAATTGAAAAGATTAGATCAGGTGGCAAACGGTAATAAGAGGAAATCTCTTTGGAATTATATAGACAGAAACAATCTGAAAACATAAGATGAAACGGAAAGAAACCCATAAAAAAATAAACACAAGCAATGTTGCTAAGATTTTCAAACTGTCAATTTACTGAACAGGTCAAACTTGCTTGTGATGTACTTCGTATTAAATCGAGCACATTACTCTGGACTACGAATCAATAACCGCCGCTAGCAGTTGAATGTCCTCTAGATTACTATTTAACACGGCTACTAGACTTTCTAGACCATCTTGGCATCTATCAAGGTACTTTTTGAGACTCAAGGCATCTGCTTCATCAATGAAGCCGGTATCTTTGGAGGCAGAAGACCGCAACGTGGCGTCATTGACACGGAGTGTTTCCGAAATTTCAGTGATTCTACTCTGCAACAGTTATCAGTAGAACCTTACAACAAGGACTTATAATATTCCTCTCGTGAAAATCACCTTGATCTGGTGTGGAGCATTTAAACGTGCATTTATAGATTCTAGCGCCGACTGTATGCTTTCCTCTCTGGCATCAAAACCTTGAGTGAATCGTTGTGACATCATTTGCATGGATAACACCCTAATTGGATCAACACAATCAACTTCTCAAGAGTCATCGAAATTTAACAAATCAACGCTTGCAATATACCTGAGAAGTCGATGCGAAAGCTGTTTTTGTATAACCTTTTGCCGAGCAAAGTGCACAGCAACAGCTGAGACGTTCGATTCAATCCGACCGATTTTTGAATTCATAGAATCCACTACTGCATTCTGCGCGTGCACCTATATTAAAAAATATATCTGGAGATTACACAAATTTTTTAACAGGAACCCGAACATGTACGAACATTTTCGATAAGGACTTTCTGCCGGGATCGCAATTGCTCGAAACCACGAATCGGATACGGAACAAGTCGTTCAGGATCTGGATTTTCTCGAACAGCCTGTGCCCACAGTGAAGCATCGAAACCTTCATTGAAAGATGAAAGTATAGGAAAAAAAATTGGAAACAGTAAAGAAATAACAAAGGTAAGTTCTTCAACTTAGGTATATAGTGCTTTGTACTATTCAGAAAAAAATAGGTGCAAAAGAAGAGTAAAATGACATTAAAAATCTGTAGAAACATGACCAAGGAGTAAAAGACTATGAAAAAAAATCTTGCTGAATAAAGTGTAAAATATAGGATGAATTATAGCACACACCAAATTTTTACCTATGGACCCGGATACCGCAATAGTAGCGATGCCCTTTAATACCTGCAAGAACCTGGTCGAAACAGTCTTGGACCAAATCTATCATCCTTTTAGGTCGGGAAATTGGTAGCAGACTTGTTTTAGACCAGCTTCCTCCTTCCAATCCAAAAAAGTCTGTTAAGAAGACCTAGGAAGGCCACTGCACCACTATCTCAGGATTTCAGATAGAATCGAAGAGATCAGAATTTAACAACATTCATAAAGAAAAATGGAAATCAACCAATAGCAGCCGACTCCATACTCCAATCTGAACGCTTTTGTGAATGATGAATGCGAGGGAAAAAATTGAATGCAATAAGTGCTGGTATCCCCATCTGTGATATCATACAAAAAGAATTATGTCAAATAAACACTGGTTCATAAGAAAAGATTTGCTTGATGTTAAGTATTTCGCCAGTAGATATCTCAGATAACCAAAAAAAAAATTCCACTTAGAATATAAGAAATCTTCGCAAGCTGCACAGCAGCTGTATTTCATATCAACTCTTACCACTTATAGTGTGATGAAAGGTAAGATTGGTTTTTCAAAGCCGACACCAACACAAAATAACTATTCTATATCTAATAACTATCGGCAAACAAAAATGAGAAGACATAAGTGAGATCGGATCAGTTGAGCACTGCCGTTATGATGACACTGTTTCTAACGCAGCACATACAACTGAAAGAAAGTCACTCCTGACTTGCTTGGAAGAGAAGCACATGCAAACAAATAAAAATTATGCTTTAGAAGAGAACATGAGACTTAACTATGGAGTACGAAATTGCTATCATTGTAAACCTGAGCTTAGTGGGCGTATAATAAAGAGAAGTCCAGGTACTGGCGCTAACTACTTCACTAAGTATATCTGGAACTGTAACAAGCGATTACCAAAGCTAAACTTCAAAGCGTATGGCGGCGATTCTTGAGAAATGAGTCATGTATTCGAAATCAACAAGCATTGCGATGGTGGCTGTATGCATATTTGATCTATACAAAGAATTACGAAAGCCGACCGGTCTATCAAACTAGTGCTCCTATCATAAAGATATTTGCAAAACTCTGGACCGTACGTGTCCGCGGTGGGAAACAAACGTGCGATTACTCTTTCCGGAGGCTAACGCGTTCACCACCACACCATGCGGATACTTCGATTCATCTGCTCCTCCGCTAGTTTTCGATCTACCAGGGAGCGCTAATTGGCATTGAACACAGTGGTGTTCCTATCCTTCCAGATTTGCTACCAATTTTTATATCACGGAGGACACAATTTGCACTTTGCGCAAGATGAAACCGAGGAAGGTGTGTATTTCACAAAACCAATCTTCTCAATGTTCTACTCTCACCCACATAAGTGATCCAAGTGAAGAAAATACCCAATGAGAGATACACCATGTGAGATGGCTACACCAAATACTATTTAAATGGTGATATAAGTACACCACAAAAACCAACATACCTGTGGGAGGATCTTTTAGATAAAGTTCCTTTTGTCGCTTGTCCATTTGTACACGAGAGACAATTCTCTCTTTATCAACCTAAAAGCACTGTAGTAAGTTTACAAAAGGATAAAACAAAAAGCTCAAGAAGCACTTTAAGTTGAGATTCTAGCTGCTGCTTTTGCGGAGCTTGATTAAGATACTGCGACAATTCTCTGCTCGTTATTCGGCCTCGGAACTTTTCAGTTACATAGATACATATCTGGAAAAAACATAGACCACTGCACTATATGAAGAAAACCCGAGTAGCAAATAAATAAGAATACGCGGAGGAAGTTTAGAAGACACACCTCAGTGCAGTTATCAGGAAGGGCTCTGACGCTTTCAATGTGTGCGTGTACAGTAGGCTTACTCCCAAGGATAACAAAAAGCACATCAACAAATTTTTGCTTCTGTTCGCTGGTCCGATATCTGAGAATGGGCTATGATTTAATAGTAGGGTACACATAGGCTTGACAAATAATGACCTACTCGGAAAATGGAGCCTTGACAACAAGAGCGACAATGCCATCAGATTCGGTGTACTCCGATGTTCGATTATACCCTATGCCCTAAACGACAGTGAACCCCCATTTTTGAAAATCAACACAGATCATTTTCATTGAAATCTCCCTTTCTATGCTTGTTTTTTCAAAGATATTCTCAAACGTCTGAATACCTCAACAGGGAAATTCCATTTAGTACTTGTCTCCTATGACAAGACCACTTACCTTTATTCGATGAAATGGTCCAAGTTGAGAGTACTGTACTGGTTGCTGACCATCTTTATAGTAACCGCAACCAACTCCCATAGCAGCAGCTAACTGGTTTAACTTGGCAATCATCTCATCACGTTCATCACCAAACAACTCGACTTTTGTTAGGGATCGAACAAGTGCATCAGAGTCCTAAATTTGTCCCGAAAATGTCATTTACTAGCATGGAAAAGAAAAGTCACAAATAGGTCGAAAGCTGAACCACCTGTAGAATCCCTTGAAATGTTTGCTTGGTTTCCACAGCGGGCTGTGCTGCGAGAGTAGACCCAAATAATCCACCAGTCATAGGCTTTGAGCCGAAAAGACCAGTTCCCCCAGTACTACCAAAGCCTGTCGTTATTGCTGAACGACATGTTATAGAAGAAAATAAGAAAACACCAGACAGAAAGAAATCATCTACATGGAAATAATTAAAAGTGCAGTCATACGTTTCGAAAACAATCCACCAGTTGTTGAAGAACCGAAAAGACCTCCCCCAGCAGTCGTTGTCACGGTTTTTGTGCCAAAAAGACTACTAGAGGTTGTCGTCGTCGTTCCGAAAAGTGACGTTGCCGTACCCGACTGTGGAACGCTGCCAAATAATGGCTTCGATGTGGACCTAAACAACTTCTTAATCAACATTTAATGCATTGGCTTCAAAGGAGTTGTCCTCAGAATTAAGGACTAGAAAATTTACGTAGTCGTTGTAGCTGAGCCGAAAAGTGAAGGGGCTGAAGTCGTTGTGGTTGAACCGAAAAGCGAAGGAGCTGAAGTCGTTGTGGTTGTACCGAAAAGCGAAGGAGCTGAAGTCGTTGTGGTTGTACCGAAAAGCGAAGGGGCTGAAGTAGTTGCAGCAGTGGATCCAAAAGTGAAACCAGACGAGGTACCAGTTGTGCCCGTCGATCCAAACAGCGGTTTACTGCCGAACAAACTCATCTGTAAAACGAAAACGACCTTAATGTGAAGGAGAAAACTAGAACAGAAACAGCGCCACGTGGTAGTTGTTGACAAAGGCGACAATGCTGTGACAAAACAAGGTCACAGAGAGAGAACGATTTTATACAATAAGATTTTTAATCTTCGAAACGACGAGCGATACAGAACGCATTTGAGCGGGAATCCAGAGCTACGAACACATTATTATAGCCGACTTGAAGAAGATAATGCTACTATGTGAAGTGAAGTCTGAAAAAAACAAAGGAGTACTACGCCTACACCACAACACACCACAATCTTCCTTTGGCACTTTGCTTCCAGAATGCGACTTCAGTTTGTACTTGCTGTAATTTCACAAATTTCCTCCGTAAAACCACTCACTGCATATATTCTACGGCAGCAATCTCATATGCTTCACACTGCATGTGGTCTTGGCTCACTCCAAGCTTGTGGCTTTCGCTGTGACTTTTGACGAATACGGCTACTTGACTTTTTTATAACCCTAAAAAGTAAGCAGAATAAGGCTGTCGGCGTTGATCAATCCCCGAGAGACGCGCCTTACATTGGACTTCATTAAGTACCGTTGGAGATGATTGAACGCATATCTGGCCTTTACAGTGGCTCGCGGTGGGCTACCGACGCACCGAGCCAGCGCTGCTATCGTTCCAGACAAATCTGGTATCAATTGCCGACCCTGAAAGGATGGAAGGCTTGGTGAACATTAAGCGCTGGCATAGATTCCATGTGTATTGCAAGGAGCCTGCGACCACTGCCGTACCCACTCTCTTGATTTTTATAACCATAGCTGTGACAGTGCACCAGTACGAAGACTTCTTTTTATTCTATCTTATAAGACTCGTCTTCACGTCTACTATGCTCATTCCAGCACTCTTATCATTCGATTAGCTTCCTCGCATGCATCATCCACGAAGGTCCGACTTTTTACATGCGGATTCCGCTGCTGCATGAGGATTTTCTTTTCATCATGAATGTCTTTGAACAGCGGAGTCGATTCTCTCTGAAGTGCTGTGATAGCCTAGCTAGCGCCTTCCAACTTTGATTGCAAAGAGTGCTTTTTTTCCTGACAAGTTCGGTGCCAATTTCTCGACCTCCCCCCCAGCAGCGAGATGATGAGAGACTTGGTGAACCTGTGCCTGAGAAACGAGATCGAACCAGCACCGTGCACGTGATGATCGGCATCATTACCACTGCGCTATCCACTTTGTGGTAGGAACATTTAAACAGCGAAAATGGTCAGTGTTTGACGTCTACCCGGTTCTACTTCGTTGATGATCTTGGAATCGCTACGCTCTTCCAGACATCCACTTGAATGTGTGACTCGTCTCTTTCTAGTCTTCCAGCTTTCTATTTATGTTTATTACTTTGTATTTATGTCTTTATTGTATTTATTATCACCTTACATTATTATTATTATTTATTATCATCCTACTTACATTTACCATGTTGTAGACTTATTACTACATTTATTTATTCCTCCCAACGGTTTATCGCCTCATTTTGGCTGGGACGTGTTCCTGGGTGTCGGACTGCGATGTACAGCGGTGGGTTTCGTCCCCCCGCAGGGTCCTCCAAGCTGAGGAGTCCGGTGTATCCATCAGGAATCCTAGCTAAGAGTAAACCAATACCCGGATCCACCACCGTCCTGGTATCAAAGTCGCATGGTGGCAGATCTCCCTGTGATCCACAAGGGCTGCGACTGCCTGTCGTGGTGACGACCTGGGGCAGACTTTGGCCAGGCTTTTCTCGGGATTCCAGGGAACCACAATGGCTTAACCAGCACATCTCCGAAAAATGTTGATTATGCTGGGGCTCGCACAGCTGGTGAGGACGGGCCGTTCAATTATCAAGTAAGTATATTTATTTATTATTTTCTTCTATTTATGAGTATTTTCATGGCGAGCAGTGTGATTCATGCGTATTTTTCATTTGAATTAGCCCTAGGCAGTTTGGTAAGGCTTTAGTTGACGTCCCAAGAAACACTTGGCTATCCCATATCGTCACCACATTCACCCACTAACTTTTGCGGATTGGGAACCGTTTTGACCTCTTCTGGCTAGATTTATTGCAGAATGGCGGAAGTTAACTTTAGCCAAACGGACTTCTTTATGGGAATCTTCGACCCCGTTCCAGCCTTTATAACACTACTACGAGCTGATGTTCATCGTATTTCGAGAGAAATTGCCTCGTTCCTTTCAAGGTGGTAAACTATTGTGGGGAGTACTGTTTTCTTACTTGGTTGCTTGAATGGCTCGTCTTCAGTAGTTATGCCGACCCCAGCTGAATTTCCACTTTTTCGGAGTTTTATTGGTTTAGCCATTGTGATTCCTTGGAGGTTCGGGGTAAGGGCCAAAGTCTGCTCAAGGTCATCACGACCACAAGCAGTCGCAGCACTTGTGGACCAAAGGGAGATTTGCCACCATGCGACTAGTTTGATACCAGGACGTTGGTGGATCTAGGTAATGGTTATGTCATATATATTCTTAACTCTTTGTGATCTGCTTTACGTGCTTACTCCATCGAAAATTTAGCAGTTTTCTTAGATCCCAACCAAAAATTCGATTTTGATATTGAATGTAAAATTTGATGTCCAGAAGAGCAGTTATGGGTAATACGCGTTCCTTCAAGGATTCAGAAGTATAAAGTCACGTTTCAGAAGCGCGAAAAACGTGAATCCCTCAAGTCAAAACAGATTAGGGGATAAAGGATAAAGCTCTCAGAGTTGACCAATTCCTGAAGGATGCTCCATGCATTCAACTTCATTAAGTATCGTCGGAGGTAGTTGAATGCATATCTTGCCTTTATAGTGACTAGCGGTGGCCTACCGCTGTACCGAGCCAGTGCTGCTATTCTCCCAGACAAGTCTGGTACCAATTTGCCGACCCCGGAGAGATGGAAGGCTTAGTGGGCCGTGGGCGCGGGGATCGATTCCACATATGTGTCGCAGTGGCACCTCCAACCGCTGCGCCACACGCGCCCTCAAAACATATTAACTCTTGAAAATAGGCCAATCTATTGAACTGTGTATTTTCTAAAAGCCCAACATCCAACATTGCATCCCACTTTTTCTATTAAGCTTCACGACAAGACATAGTCTGGAACAATCGAGAATTTCGAGATGTGGACCATATGATCCACATTTAGCTCTTTGTTACTTGTTCCCTGTCACGAATTTCTTCATGATCACAGTTCCTTCCATTGGATCACGGGAATAGCTTTCATAAAAAATGCCATGTTATTTCCAGAAAATTAGCGATTAGAAAGTACTATGCCCATTTGGGCGTCTTTTCAACAGTAGTGCTTGTTGAAAGTGGTTGTGGACACTCTAAGCAAAATCGCATTTCTCTGTCGGCCCTCTTTTTTAGTGGAGATTGTAAGCGGTCGGTAAAGTAACCGTATTTTCGTGACCACCTTTCGAAAGAAATGAATTGGGGTTTTTATGTTGAGTATGTCAATTCTTTGGTAGACTAGGGACAAGAGAGCCTCCTGCTCATCATCTTACCCTCGCTTATTCATCCCCGTCAATATCGCCTTGTCGCTTGCATCGTCCCGGTATATCGTTATTGCCGTAGTAATGTTATTGTTGTAGTAATAGTTTAATTACACAAGTTTAAGGTCTGATATATGACGAAATGTCCCGCATGACGGTCACGAAAAGTCGAGCGCTGAAGTCCGCTGATTAACTGGTACAAATTTTGTTGCATCAACTGAGCCGATTCGAACTCAACGCTCAACGAAATAAACCGCAGTACGGCTAACCTCGAAGCGGGAAATCTAAGTGCAGGTACGTTATATTTGCTACACAAAGAAAAATAAGAATGGCAACCCTTCTTTTTTTCAGGCCAAGAGATTCTACCAAAAGCGATTAACCGCGTTATATTCCATTTCGACAATTATGAAAATGGGGAAAACACCATAGTAGACATTCCCTTTGACGAAGCTAGGCGATCTAAAGACATCACCTATATCACCTGTTGTCCCTTTGATCGTCGAGTGACTCGAGCTGGTGCCAGTAAATTTTCCATTTTTCCCTGTCGCGTACAAGAGTAGCCCAGTGGGTTCTGCTCGCTCTAAGGACTCGTCGAGCATCATATCTTTCTTCTAGGTGCTTCGTGAAGAGCTCTGACCATCGAGTCGGTGGTCTTCCTGCAGTACGTTTAACATCCCGAGGAATTCAGTCACTACCTCATCCCGAGGAATTCAGTAACGGCTCTTGTCAATCAGTTGTCATTCATGTGCATTACGTGTCCGGCCTACCTTCGACTGTTTGGCGTACAGAACGGCATCTTTGATTTTTGATCGTTGACGCAGGTCGGAGCTTCGGCTAACATCGTCCTTTCGACTGCGCGTTCGATAACACTGAGTGATCTCTCATCCTGCTTACGCAGCGACCAGGTTTCTGACGCTTACGTTAGGGCAAGGAATACCATTGAGTCGAAAACTGAAGACATCACACGAAAAGGAACTTGAAAAGAAAAGCAGGGTCGGCTAATCTAAACACCCAAGACAGTGCTTAGGCAGCACTGGGCAACTGCACCATGGGTGCGGACTGCATTGACTCCCAAACTCGCATACCACACGAACTAAAGAAAAGTTTAAAAATAAACATAGAATAGAATAGTGGAGTACCTTGAGAAGGCAGGTCACTAACTCCATAATCCCTTCGACATGAATAGAATGCTTACAGCGCAAAAGGTAACAATAAGAATGACCACACGTCTCTGGTGAAAAATCTTCCACCTATTCCTATTCCCATCCATTCAATGCGGGTGGTAGATTATTTTAATGTTAAACTGTTTTCGCGGGAAAGCTGTAACGGTAGTCAGGGAACACGATATTTCACGAGAATCATATCCTGTGGTGATATATCATCTAAGGACCAACAGTGACAACAGACAAGCCCTGGTAAATCAATCATTGAACCGGCTACACAAAGCAAAAATACGGAGAGCATTCTCTATAAAGAATAAAGGATAAAACTTTCGGCGTTGATCAGCCTC